CGAAGATTTAATCAATATAAGTCATAGAACGATATTCGGTCAAGATAATTAATTATTACGTTATATAGAATGTCATAAATAGAAATTGTTTGAAATCTGAAATTGACTTTTGCTCAGAGGAAATATCAAAATGTTTAATTGACGAATTCTTGAATAATTAAAGACTAAAAGAATTTGTGATAAACTAAATTTCAGGAAGGAATATAAATGTTGAAATCACATTTATCTGTTAATTTCTTAAATTGACATTATATTTTGACAGAGTTTTAAAAGTAAAAATATAGTTATAAAAATGAAAAAACTTACATATCTATGAAAGCTTATTTACGAAATATCTATAGAGATATATATTACAGATTAAAAGTCTCGAAAATCGCATTAAATGATTACTTTTCTCAATATTTTTGCTACGAAACATTATCTTTAAATTAATAAAAAAGTTGTGTTTGAAGCCACAGTAATAATCATTGAGTCAGAAATATCTGTAAAGGCAAATGCATCGATATAAATCGATGCAAGCAAAAAGCGTTGTAGGCCGCACAAACCCTGGTCGTTCCGATCTGATTAGCACGCTGATATAACATTCAATTTCCCACAGCAGGTTGCTGGGTAGATTATATGGATATCTTTGGATATGCGTTCCAGATCGCGTCTCCCGAATGTAGACGACCGGAAGAGTAAATGTGCGATTGAACGGTTCGATGGGTGAGTTGTTTTTTGCATACTGTTGCAAATTTTTATTCGAATGGAACCGCACGGAAGTGTGTCATCTCTTCACAAAGCTAAACTGTAATGAAAATTGGAAAATAACGGATGTTCGGCTGCCAGAACCAGATATTTTATATACTATAGATATGGAGTCTAAAAAAAAGATAAATGGAAAAAAATACGACCAAAAAAAATCTTTAAAAAGAATAGAGGAAAAAGTTTTTTTTTGATAGATAGAAATATTTCTATCTATTAAAAAAAGATTTTTTCCTCTATATATTATAAAATATCTTAAAAATAATGCAATTTTATATATATATATATATAAAAATTGCATTATTTTTATCTATCAAAAAATTTTTTAAGAAGAATTTAATCTTTTTGATTTTAATTAATTAAAATATTTAAAATTATATTTCTAATTTACAATCGATTTATGGTCTTGTAATACTATAAACAATTTTGATTGGAAAAATATTATTGATTGATTTCATTGTAATAGGAACATATACGTATAAAAGAACCGAAAATAAAATAAAATCTTGAGGTAATTTCAAAATAAAATGAAAAAGTAAAATAAAATATATTATTATATTTCATGAAAGAACTAAATAACCAGGAGAGAAAAAGAAGAAAAAGAGATTATATTATCTCAATGATTATCTTTATCTGTATATTGATTAGTATGCTATCTTTTA